CCGCGTGAGGGGCACGACACACTGAGGACTACACTTGCGGCTCTTGGGTTTGCTCCCTCTACTGCCGACCCGTCGCTGTTTCTGCGCACTGACACTTCTTTGCCGCCGTTCTACATCCTCGTGTATGTCGACGACTTGGTCTTTGCCACAGCTGACACTGCTGGACTCGCCCACGTGAAGTCCGAGCTGCAGAAGAGACACACGTGCACTGACCTGGGTGAACTGCGCAGCTACCTTGGCTTGCAGATCACTCGGGACAGAGCACGCCGCACCATTACCCTGACTCAGTCACACATGGTGCAGCAGGTCCTTCAGCGCTTCGGCTTCACGTACTCCTCGCCTCAGTCCACTCCTCTGCCTACTCGCCAGTCACTCTCAGCTCTGCCTTCGGATGAGTCCGTAGAGTCAAGTGGCCCGTACCCAGAGCTTGTTGGCTGCCTCATGTACCTGATGACCTGCACACGACCTGACCTTGCATACCCTCTTAGCATTCTCGCACGCTATGTTGCTCCTGGGAGACACCGACCGGAGCACATGGCTGCAGCGAAGAGGGTGTTGCGCTACTTGTGCAGTACGTCGGGCATGGGGCTTGTGCTTGGAGGGCACAGTCCAGTGGTTCTCACTTGGCACGCATACGCCTCTTGGGCTGACGACCAGGCTACGCAGCGGTCGTCACAGGGTTACACCTTCAGCCTTCGTTCCGGCTCTGTTTCTTGGCGGGCTACTCGCTCGTCTTCTGTTCTCGGCTCCAGTTGTGAGGCTGAGATCTACGCAGGAGCCATGGCTGCACAGGAGCTTCGCTGGCTCACCTACCTGCTGACTGACCTCGGAGAGTCGCCTCGTTCTCCTCCATTGCTGTACGTCGACAACAAGGCCATGCTGGCCTTGTGTCGGGAGCAGAGAGTGGAGCACAGAACGAAGCACATTGCTCTCTGCTACTTTCTTGCTCGTGAGCTGCAGCAGCGTGGTCAGCTGCGTCTTGCGTATGTGGCCTTTGAGGCCAACACTGCTGATATCTTTAGCAAGGCACTTGCGCCTTGTGATCATCAGCGCTTCTGTACTCAGCTGGGTCTTGTGCCTGCCTTGCCTCACTTGCTCAAGTTACTTTTCGGCGCCGTCGCCGTCCCCACACTCCATGTTAGGATGATCCGCCAAACTCTATCTTCAATGCTTCCACCTTGGACGCCTAGCGCTCCCCAAATCTCCCGCGGCTTCTGCTCAAAAGCTCCTCGAAACACGCTGCTAGTTCATTGCTCACTAGTACCCCCGGCGGAGCCTTCTGGGTTTACCCAGAGCGGGGGGGTAAGAAGTTTGATGGCATATTTTTGGGATGACATGGCGGAAACGCAACTGTTTTCTATGCGAAAAAAATAGTTGAGTCGCGGCTCAAATTGGATGAAAGGGGCATCTTTGAATACTGGCCGCAAGACCATATCGCTTGCGGCCAAAATTCAAAGATGCCCCAATATTGGCCATGTAGCTTGAAAAACAAGCGACGAGGCGTTGCAACCCGCAGCGTCGGCTGTAGGACTTGGTGCCTGACACTGCGTCGGCTGTAGTCACTACAGAATGGTGGCTCCCCAAAACCATCGGGACAGTTGCGAGACCGCAACATCCCGCACGGTCTGGGAAAATTTGGTTCATGAGGAGTAGAGACAAAGTATGTATTTCACCTGCTCAATCTAATTATAGCGGTACTAGTCACCCTGTGACGCACTAGGCAGTTTCAAAACTCCTAAAGTCGCTGGTCTCGGCTTCCAATTTCTTGCAAACTGTAGAACAGATCGCTTGAATACTTGAAAACTGCCCGCTTGATCAGTTTTTGCATGGGGTATTTGAGGGTGGCATAAAAGCGATTGCGCTACATAGCTTTCTGGTGGTTGGTTGTTTTCCAGACTACTAGGATGTCGTAAACTTGATCCACATAAGCAGGTACATCTGAGGTGAGGAGATTAGTCGGACCGACTGACACTCCTTGCTACATATCGTCCTCGTGTACGGATTCACAGGTACATGCACCCGCACACCCTGTAGTACAGTACACAGTCTTCGGTTTTGTGTCGCACAGTCGCACATGACACATAAACCTGGCTTGCGACACAAAACCCAAAACTCTGTGCAGCTGTAGAGACTAGTCAGGTCCGACTGCATGTTACGAGTGCAATTGAGTGACCGAGCTAGCCTGGTATATCTCAACGCCCCGACTACACCCGGGTGCAAAAACGACGCGGCTCGGGAAAGGGATCCGCCACCCTGCGTCATCCTGTCTGGCTAATTGAGTGCACGTCCTGGGCGAGAAGCGTCACCCTGCGTCACGTGGCAATCCCGATGAGAAAAACCCCGATGGCACCTCTCAACGGACCCTCCGTACGAGGTCGACGACGCCGCTCGCGGCCAGCGTGCCACGATGTCCTCCTTGCCATCGGTGCGGACTGCGATGTAAGGCCCACCGCGATTCTTGGCTGACCACTGCTCTGGTGCGCAGAGCCACACGTCGCCCATCCGAAACATAACATTCCACGTGGCGATCATCGATCGGCGAACGCCTGTCCACGCGGCGACCAAGCCTTCGGCGGCCTGCTGGCGGGAACGTGCCCGCAGGATACCATCGTCGGGCGACGCGATGAGCACTGCTGCGTCACGCCGACGTGTAAGCACGGTTCAGCGTGACGGGAACGCCGGACAGTCGGCTGCAAAAAAGACATGCGTGCCCCATGCCACGTCGACCATTGCGCCGCCGACCTGCCTTGCATGCAGGGTTGGAGACCTGCCCACGGATCGCCCGCCAACACCTGTCCGCCCGAACCGCGACTGTGGCACTCTATGCTATGACCCACCGACGGCCAAGTGTCTATGCCATTTCGTCTCTTGTTTGTTGCGTTGCATGTCAGAATGTTATCTTATGCTCTAGCCTGTAGTGGGGTGCTCTATAGCGAATACAACCCTTCTAGGGTTTGCTATTTGTATCCCCATTCTTGCTAGTGCAATCCTCTTCTCTTCTCTCTTCTAACTTTCACATGCTATCAGAGCAGGTCGATCCCCTTGGATCGATCCTGTGGGTGGGCTTACCACCTCCTAGCTTCCGCTGCAACTCCTATCACTACACTCTGAGCCGCACGCCCCGTGGCGTGCGGCACTTTTTATTCCCGCCGTGCGCCCCGAGGCGCGCGGCGGTTTTCTGCCCGCCGTGCGCCCCGAGGCGCGCGGCGGTTTCCTGCTTCGCGCGGCGGCTTTCTGCCCGCCATGCGCTCGGAATGCGTGGCGGTTTCCTGCCCACCGCGCACCCTAGGCGCACGCGGCGGTTTCGCGTTCCGTCGACCCGCGCGCCCGTCTCCGTCGACCTGCGCGCGGCTCCATGTCGCCCTTCGCGGCGGCCCCGTAGACCCGCGCGCCGCCCCTGGCGACCCGTGCGCCCATCCTCGTCGACCCGCGTGTCGCCCTACGGCCCCCCCTCCCCGCACACCTACGTTTGCTTACCGCACACTCGAGTTCGCTTCGCGCACACTTGTGCACGCTTCGCACACACGTGAGCTCGCTTACCGCACACTCAGGGTATGGGGGTGGCGAGTAGGGGGTGGCGAGTATGGGGGTGGCAGTTGTGCATTCCTCCCTTTGCTCCTCCTCCTCCATTGTCTCCCACTGCTGCAGCTGTCGCTGAGGGGGGTGGATGAGTGGGAGACTGGGGTTTAGGGTTGAAGGGGGGTGCGTGTGAGTGGAGCTAGCGGTGTAGCAGCGGGTGCGTGCCAGGGGGAGTGGGATAGTGTGGGGAAGCTGTATGGAGGTTGCCGTCGTGTCGCCGCCAGCAGCACCTGTATTCCGGGGAGTTGCTCCGGTAGCCCAGTCGTAGCCAGCTGTGCCAGCCGCCCGTGGGTCCGTTGCTCGTCTGCCGCTACTTTAGCCGCGGGGCCAGTTACTCCAGTATTCCGGGGCGTTGTTCCGGTAGCCGCTGTGCCAGTGTGTCTCCTGTTGCCCGTGTGTCTGCAGCTTCAGCCGTCGCCTCCTATCTCCTCTCCCCTCACTCTCTCTCCTCCTCCTCACTTGCCCGTTGTGACTGCCACTAGCTTTGCTCATAATTGTGAACCTTAAACTATTGCTTCTTGAACTTGTGCTCAAAATGTGTGGTGACATTGTGATCCACCCTGAGCTTGTACTGCTTTGCTTGCTCTGCTGATTACACCCCACTTTGGCTATGGGGGTGTGTCAGAATGTTATCTTATGCTCTAGCCTGTAGTGGGGTGCTCTATAGCGAGTACAACCCTTCTAGGGTTTGCTATTTGTATCCCCATTCTTGCTAGTGCAATCCTCTTCTCTTCTCTCTTCTAACTTTCACATTGCATTCAATTTCATTTCCCTTAGTCATTTTTACGCTTCTCTGAGACCGACCGACCTCGCGTGGTGCAGGGTCGACGACGAGCCACGCCGGTGTAGAGTGCGTTTAGGTCGGCAAACTGTACGGGCTTTCGACTTAGGATCATTCCGACTAGGACGACTAGCTAGGTCAACAACATCCGAAGGTGGCGGACCTCTTTCTTCGTACCCACAACCAGTATTGTCGTCGCCAGTGATCGCCAGTACGGCTGCGAATGGCCAGAGACCAGTCTAACAACATCCCGCCGAACAACACCCTGACGAACAACACCCCGACCAACAACACCCCCCCGCCCAACCTCCCCCCGAATAACACCCCGCCGAACGATACATTGCCACTTCACACCCCGCCGACCATTGCGCCGCTGACCACAACCACTCCGAACATCACCCAGCAGAACACCAATCCGCCGCCCTTACTTCACGAAGTTCTCGAACTGTCCGACATTGCCGTGGAGTTGACGATCGCCGAGAACGTTGAGAGGGCCGAAAGACGGGCGGTCTTTAGGGCCACGGTGCGAAGGCAATACATGGCAGCGATTGTGCAGTATCGCCTTTGGTGGGCTGAGTACGTACCGCCGCGAGACCGCGGCGACAACTAGAGGCCGACGGGAACAACTTTACCCGCCGAGATGGCTGGCGTCACGCCGCTGGCGGTGAGCAGCGCGATTCCCGACCTGAACGAGCCTTGCTTGGAGGTAGATGTAGACGCCGCTAGGGCAAATATTTCTGACGACCCGACCATCCCCCTTCCGCCAGGGACGAAAGGGGCTCCCCAACCTGCTCCGGACCCAGAGGATCCTTCGGCGACCGAGCAGTCGCCGCCAATTGGACCATTTCCAGAAAACGACTACATGTATCTGACCGTAGAGGACCTGTTGGCAGCCGAAGAGAAAGATGACGCCTACCTGCAAAACATTCCGCGCGACGATTTTGCGGAAGCCGCCTTCGACATCAACAAAGAGCTCGCCAAGAAGAACAGATTGCTGAAGATGATGTGGGGTTTTCGGCATCTGGACATGCTGGAGGCGAGAATGACCCGGGTTCAGTACCTGCGAGCGCTGCTCGACTTCAGGAGATGGTGCTGCAAGAACCTTCTAAGACAGCAAACCGCCAGAGTCAAGGGGGACGGCGTGCTGGAGCACGAGGACGAGATAGGGAGGTACATCGACGAAGACATGGGTGATAAGTGGCACACCGCCAAGGACGACCTTCAATGGATGCACGGTCCCCGCGTCAACGCCACGCGGATCAGGGCGTACATTCTGTCAATCGCGAGGCAGGAAGGTATTGCAAAGGCCGAGGAGCTCGAGGAGGTGAATCCCGACGTCCGTGTCCAGCCCTTGAAGGCAACAACCGTTTCGATGCTGCTCATGCGCATCAAAGCGCTCCAGACAACCTGCAAGGTCGAGGGGACGCTCTTCGGGGTGAAGGAGCTCCACATCATGTATGACATCTCCGAGGTCTGCTCGGAGGTGCGCGCGATGGTCAGAGAGAAGTGGCATAGGGAGGACAGGTAAGTCGGCAAATCGTCCATCGCGGTTCATGCCTGTTTTCCGGTTCGCCCAGCTAACCCAGTCCTCGTGGAAACTGATGTGCAGGGATTGCGTCGACCGGCACCGCGGAACGCTCGGCGACACGTACACCACCGACCAGATCCGCCACCTCATGTTCAAGGTCTTGCCGACCTGGGCGGCTCGGGCGTACGAACCCAAGGCGGCCACCCCCTCCCAGTCACTGTGGAAGTTCTTGCTGATGAAGACGATGACACTCTTGGGTCACCACACCCTTCCCCACGGAGCCAGTCTCCGAGCGATCGAGCTCCCCGACTTGTTCTTGTACAGAATGGGGAGCGCGTCGCCCGAGCACTCCACGCGACGGCCGGTTGTCATGGTCGTAGCGTCACGAAACTCCAAGACGATCAAGGATGCTCGTCTACATCCCAGCTACGCGGCGAGACACCTGGAGCAAGAGATGTGCGCCGTCGGTCACACACTGTTGCGGCTGCACTTCGTGTACAACCAGCTGAGCCGCTCGCCCACCTCTCGATGTGTGCCGCCCCTTGACTTCACAACTCCGTACATGTGGTATCACAAGCACATCTTTCATGCTCGGAACGACAAGGCACAAAAAGAGCTGCCGGCTTCGTCTCATTCTCGGATCACGAAAGAGATGTGGCGGACGAACAAGATCTTCATCACGCGCAACACCCACGCCGCCTGGGCAGGTGGGGCACAGGAGCTGGCCGACGATGGAGTCCCGCGATCTGACATCGCCGACTTGGGCCACTGGGCGCTCGACAAGCTTGCAAAGAGCTACATCACGACCATCTCGAAGGCGGCGGTGTAAAGAAAGGCCGGCTACACAGGCAAGTGCGGGGACTACCACCTCGGCCGCAGCTTGGTGACGCCCGAACCCAAGGTGGTGGCCCTCATCGCCCAGCATATCTTTCCCTGGGCTGAAGCGGAACTGGACAAGGTGAGCATTTCAGACGGTGAGACGCCGACTTCCCGCCGACCATTTCCACGCCAACATTCCACCGATGGTCGCTTGTGTTTATGTTTGTGTTCGACACGCATGCGGTAAGGTGCGCCACCGCGAGAGAGCCCAACACGGCCGGGGTGCACATCCTGCAATCGCTCATCGAGTTCGGCCGCCGAATCGTCGCCGAGGATCTGGCGTGCATGCTGATACGCGAACCGTGGCACCCGTACGTCCAGAGTTCCAAGCTCTGCTGCGACCCCGACTTCCAAAAATGGGCGAAGGACGTCAATCGGGTGGACCTCGAGACCATCGCCACGCGCGGTACTCCAACCGAGAACCCCCAAGAGGTATGGCGAGCGCGTTGCGGTTACCTGTCAAACCAGTCGTCCTGCTACATTTGCTGACGGCTTGCCGACCATTCCCCTTGGATCACAGGAATTTAGCGCGCGAGTCGACGCCTTCCATCAGATCGACCAGCTCACCATGATGCTGCACCGCCAGAGAGAGGATGCCGCGATCGAGAAGCTTGGGATGCAGAAGCAGCTGGAGGAGAATGACGCGGAGATCGCGAGGTTGATGCAGGCTCTCAAGCTGGCCGAGGCATGGCCGACTGCGCCTACACCCCCGACCACAAGGCCGATGACCGCCGCCGAGAAGGCAGCGGCCGTCAAGATCGAGAATTTACAGGACGACGACCTTACGTACGAGGTGAACGTCGTGCATCCCTGGCGCACGTCCAAGACCGTCGAGGCTGCCTGGTGCTGGTGGAACAACCCGTCCAACTTCGACTCGCGTCCCTTGCGCGAATGTTACGAGGAGCACAGATTCCTCATCAGACACACGCGCATGATCTGCAAGGTCGAAAAGGGCGACAAACCCGCAGCGTCGGCGAAGTCGGCGAAGAGCTCTCATGGCCGACAACCGCCAACAAACGGATGTCCCATGACCGAGGTGGGTGAGACGGGGAAAAACGATGCGCTGCAGCACTGCACTCGCCAGATGAGGCGGATCATGGAAGCAGTGCACGACTTGCGGCGGAGCGACGACGACGCTGACACCGCCGCCGTCATCAAGCTACTCGACCACCTGGGGCGAGCGGGCCTTTCTACTTTCTGCGACGCTCTCTTGGTCCTCCGTGCAACCCCGCCCATCAAGGTCCCCATCACAGCCGATGGAAAGTCGGTCCGCATCAAGGGTCTGGACAAGCCGCTGACGAGGAAGCTCGCCGTTGCGTGGGGCGTGGTCACGGCGGGCTACATGGACGCTGAGTGGGGAAAGAGGCTCTTCGGTGACTTGTGGGAGGAGCAGGCCAAGAAGGCCGGCTTGGAGGCCGAGGCGACGGCGGGAGCCACCAGCGCTGGGAAGCGCAAGAGGGCGGGCTGAGGGTAGTGCGTCTGGGTCCGACTTGTGCTGCTGGCTGAGCGTGGTGTGACTGAGGGTGGGTTGAGGGCGGGCCGAGGGCGGGCTGAGGGTGGGCTGGGGGTGGGCTGAGTGTGTCCGACCTGTTCTAGTGATACTATATGGTTTTCTTTTACTGCCAACGTTGTTTCGACTAGTAATTAGTAGAAGTTTGTCTGTTGTTCATGCATCAAACCGACTCCACTATGTTCCCACCACAAAACCTACTTCACAAGGTTTCTGAAAAACTACCGACGAACAAGTTCAGCATCCCTAAGCCGGAGAGGCAAAACAAAACAACACAACAACACCCAAAACGGGACACGTCGACCATGTCACGAGCAGTCGGGGCAGCGTTTGCCGACCTAGGCGTCGGCCGCCTACTTCCCTTTGTGCTGACCCCTCGCCCCCCTGTCCCGAACGATCACCTTCATCCCGGCGTCAAGAAGCAAATTGACGCCGCGCGCTTTGAGTTTGGGGCCGCCGACACAGCAGTCCCCTCAGAAGGCGAGGCTCTCGATCATGACACGAGCGATCAGATCGTCATGGTCGCGCTCGTCGCCGTCCTCAGGCAGTGACCTCCGCACAGCGCCATGCAGGTCCTTCGTCACCGTGTTGGTGACCTCTTCTACGCCGACCTTCCGGGACGACGCCCGTTGAAGCACCACCTCGATGACGCTCTTACACCTCTTTGCGGACTCTTTGGACGCTCCGCGCACGGTCGCTGCCGCCCCCCCTTCACCGGCCGCTACTTCCGCCGTGGCATTGGTCTCCGAAAAACACCACACCGCGCACGCAGTACCGGCGAGGATCTCGGACAACCGCTCCGACCCAACTCCCGGAATGGGCGTCAATTTTGCGGCCACAGGTGCGAAGGCGGCACACATCAAAACGTGTGCGATCATGTCGCTCACCACCTTGTTCTTTGCGGCCTTCTCGGGCTCGGTCGACTCCGGAAGGTCGCTGAACCACACCGCTGGGCGAAGAGCCAACATGAGAGCTGCGCGGTCGGCGTCGGCTATCCTGTTGTATTCCGCGACCACCTCTTGGAACCTGTGAAACACAGCAGGAAGACCCACCGTCACCGACCGACCCACGCGTACCGACCTGAACGAGCACCTAATTGAGCATTCGCCGAGCTTACCTGTCGCGGAAGACGTTCGCCCCTCGGCTCCACATGACCGTCCACATGCCCCCCGGAATCAATCGCGCCACATTCCAGTCCGCCTTATACTGCGCCATCACATCCTCCTTGACCCCATCGAACTCGTTCAGAATCACGTCGCTGACGAAGCCATCGTACGACGAAACGGCGACAGCGATGCAGTAGGCGGCCTCGGACTTGTCCATCGATCGGCAGATGTAACGGCTCTTCTTCCCAAACTTCATCTCTGACGTGGCCAGCCCCGTTGAAGCCTCAACGCGGACGCCTGAACCCTTCCGACCCTGCGCGACCGCTTTGGACATCCCCTTGGAAGAGCCGGCCTTCGCCGGGCCGCCCTTCGCCTTGTCCTTGCCCTTGCGCTTGTGCTTCCCGTCGCCGACCTCACCGGTCATGGCCGGGGGGGATTTGGCGCCAGCCGCGGTATGGTCCTCCGCAGGAGCAGTTGAGGCGGCGGGTGTACCTTGTTGCGCTCCCACGGTGGGAGCTGCTGCTTGTAGTTTTTCCCGCATGACCTCGATTTCCCGGTCCGGCATCACGATGCTGGCGAGGATCTCTTCGTCCACCCCGCCGGCCTCTTCCATCACTCTCCACACAGCCGCCTCCACCGTTGAGGCACTCGGCCCTGCAGTTGCCGCCGTGACGTTCGCTGCCTCTGCTCCTTGGTCGACCACCTGGTTGCTGTTAGTCGGAGGAATTACCGGGGTTTTCTGACCCTGATCCTCGAGCCATTTCAGATTCTCGCCGAATGATGGCTTTCGAGTGATTAGAGCCTCGACCGCCCGAGACTCAACAGCCTTTGGGATCGGGATCGGTTCCGCCGCGACCATGGCCCCATGAACGGGTAAGCTAGCCGCACCAGCAGTGCCCGTGGTAGGCGGAGGCGGGTTTGCCGGAATCGTCGCGGTATGGGGATGCTGGCCCGCCCCGGCCTGCTGGAGATGCTGTCCGACCACCGCTGCTGGGCGCAAGAGCTCGTCGACCAGCGCCGTGATGCCACCCGGTCGTGCGTCTTGTGCAGTCGCCGGACTCGTCGCGGTGGGGAGATGCTGGCCCGCAACGGCATGCCCGACATGCTGTCCGACCACCGCTGCTGGGCGCAAGAGCTCGTCGACCAGCGCCGAGACGCCACCCGGTCGCGCGTCTTGTGTAGTCGTAGGACTCGTCGCGGTGTGGGGATGCTGGCCCGCCGCGGCCTGCCCGACATGCTGTCCGACCACCGCTGCTGGGCGCAAGAGCTCGTCGACCAGCGCCGAGATGCCACCCGGTCGCGCGTCTTGTGCTGTCGCAGGACTCATCGCGGTGTGGGGATGCTGGCCCGCCGCGGCCTGCCCGACATGCTGTCCGACCACCGCTGCTAGGCGCAAGAGCTCGTCGACCAGCGCCGTGACGCCACCCGGTCGCGCGTCTTGTGCGGTCGCCGGACTCGTCGCGGTGGGGAGATGCTGGCCCGCCCCGGCATGCCCGACCTGCTGTCCGACCACTGCTGCAAGGCACAGGAGGTCGCCGGTCAGCTGCGCTGTGACGCCGGTCGGTCGCGCAGTTGGCGTACTCGTCGAGGGTTGAACATGCTGGCCCGCAACGCGCTCCCCTCGCAGCTGGCCGACCACCGTCGCGAGGTGCAGGTCGTCGGCCATCTAGGTCGTACCGCCGCTCGGTCGAGCGCCTTGTGCAGTCGCCGGACTGGCCTCGGGCTGTGGGTGCTAGTCCGCAAATGGCTGCCAGCCCTGCTTCGCGACCACGGATGCCTCTCCCATGAGCTCGTCGGCCAGATTCGCCTGGTCGTAGCTCGGTGGCACGTCGTGTGAGCTCGGCGGATCGGTCGGGGCCTGTGGCTGCTTGTCCCCCACAGGCTGCCCACCGGTCTTCCCGACCACCGAAGCTGGATCCTGTAGCGCGACGTCGCCCTGTCAAAAATCGGCGCTCGGTCGCGCGCCAAGTACCTCTTTCAGCAAGTCTTGGACGCCGGGGATACGAACATACGGAGCGGCGGGAGGATCCACGCCCACACCACGTTTCACCGCGGGTCCTCTGCTTCGCTTATTGCCGCTGGTCTGGTCGCCGGTCAGGGATTTTTCGTCGGTGACCCTTTTCCCCGACTGCCTTGGCGCCGGCCCATGCTCCTCGGCGGTTGCGCGACCGCCGTGCATCACCGTCGCGAGAGCAGTTGGGAGGAGGCTAAACCCGGCGGTACCAAGGCCCTGTTGGGTCGTGGAGGTGACCGCCTTCACCAGGTCGTCCCTAAGCTCTTGGACGACTTTCGCAGTCACGGCAGCGGCGATCCCCTGCGCCTCGCTCTCCATCACTGCACCAGCTCCACCGGGTGAGTGTTCCACGCCGGCCGTGGGTCGTGGCGTCGGAACCGGCATCGCTCTGGGTGGGGAGGCCGAGGAGGCTGACCGCCTTCACCAGGTCGTCCCTAAGCTCTTGGACGAATTTCGTGTCAGAATATTATAGTGGGGTATCCCATAGGGTGTACAACCCAACTAGGGTTTCCTATTTGTACTCACTTCATTCATAGTTCATCCTTTCTCGTTCACTTCTTCTCATGGTATCGAGCAGATTCCCCTGTGGGAACTGTGCTTAGGGCCCACCACCGCTACCTCGTAACTTTTTTTTTCTGCCCGGAGCGCGCTCCGGGCCCTTTCAATTCCTTTTTTTTTCGATCTGCTCTATCGGCCCCTAGACGCCCGCGCGCCGCCCGCCCTAGAGCCTCAGCGCCGCCCGCCCTAGCGCCCGCGAGCGGCCCGCCCTAGAGCCTGACGACCGCCCGCCCTAGAGCCTGAGCGCCGCCCGCCCTAGCGCCCGCGCGCTGCCCGCCCTAGAGCTCGAGCGCGGCCCGCCCTAGAGCCTGACGGCCGCCCGCCCTAGGGCTTGAGCGCCGCCCGTCGTCGCCCTAGCGCCCGACGCCCGCGAGCCGCCCGACGCACCGCCCGTGCGCCGCCCGTGCGTCGCCCTCAGCAGCTCGACACGCCGCCCGTGCAGCCGCCCGTGAGCTACCTGTGCGCCGCCCGACGAACCGCCCGTGCAGCCGCCCGTGCTGCCGCCCGTGCAGCCGCCGGTGCAGCCACCCGTGCAGCTGCCCAGCGTGAGCCGCCCGTGCACGCCCAGGCCGCCGTCCGTGAGCCGCCCGTGCAGCCGCCCTCAGCCGCCCGTGAGCCGCCCGTGCAGCCGCCCGTACTGCCGCCCGTGAGCCGCCCGCGAGCCGCCCGTGAGCCGCCCGTCGCGCCACCCGTGCCACCCGCGTCACCCGAGCCGCACGAGCCGCCCGTGCAGCAGAGCCGCCCGAGCCGCCCGAGCCGCCTGTGCCGCCCGAGCCGCCCGAGCCGCACGAGCCGCCCGAGCCGCCCGAGCTGCCCGAGCCGCCCGAGCCGCCCCAGCCGCTCGAGCCGCCCGAGCCGCCCGAGCAACCTGAGGTGCCGAGCTCCTGCTCCTGTGGGGCTGCTGCTGCTCCTGGACCGGCGCAGCCGCTGTGCTGACGTGTTCCTGTACTACTGAGCTACCCGACTCTTCCTGCTCGATGAGACTGTCAGCTGCTATAATGGCCACCCCCAGTGTCCTGGCTTTTGATGCTGAGGGTCGCGCCATTGACTTCGCAGTCCGGGTCGAGGACCTGCAGCTGTACTTACTGTGCGATGCGATAGATGAGGTTTCTCTCTTTGACTTTGTCTCTGGCGCTGTCCCTGCCCCTCCTGCTGATGCTGACCCCACTGTTCGCTCCAAGTGGGCCACACGCGATGCTGCTGCACGTCTTGCTGTGCGTCGCCACCTCCCTTCCTCCGAGCGTGCGCACTTTAGTCAGTGCAAGACCGCTCAGGCCTTGTACGACGCTGTAGTTGCGCGCTACTCCTCCCCTTCCTCCGCTACACTGAGCCGCCTCATGCTACCGTACCTCTTCCCTGACCTCGCTGCCTTTCCCACAGTCGCTAACCTCTTTACCCACCTCCGCGCTAGTGACACTCGCTACCGCGCTGCGCTTCCTGCTGACTTCCGCGCCGCAAACCCTCCTCCCATGTACATCACTCTCTACTTTCTAGTCACCCGTCTCCTTGAGTCCCTTCGTTCCGTTAGGGACCAGTTTCTCTCTGTCTGTCCCACCACCCTCACTGTCGACCTCCTTAAGAAGTCCCTGCTAGCGGCTGAGAAGAGTATAGTCGCAGTAGGGGCCTCTCGTGGTGACCCTCGCACCCCCATCTTTGAGGGGTGTTCTCCCTCCCCCCTGTTACCCTCTGTCGCCTCTGCTGCTGCGGCCAACCTCGTTGGTTTGGAGTCGGTCGGTGCGGCGTCTGCCCCCAGCGGTAGGCGCCGCCCTAGCAGGGGCAAGGGGGGCAAGGGAGCGGGTGGAGCTAGCGGGGGCGGTGGCGGAGGAGGTGGGGGCGACGGGGGGAGTGGGGGTGGCGGTGGAGGTGGTGGCGGGAGTGGAGGTACTGGTGGCGGCAGGGGAGGCGGAGGCGGCGGCGGAGGTGGTGGCGGAGGTGGCGGTGGGAGCGGCGGGGGCGAGGGTGGCGGTGGCGGCAGTGGCGGCGGAGGCGGGGGTGGCGGTGGTGGAGGTGGTCGGAGTGGCTCGTCCCAGTGGAGCAACACAGGGGGTGGTCAGCGCCAGCAGCAGCAGCAGCAGCAGCAGCAGCGCTCTCGCGACGTCCCCACCCCTCAGCAGCTCCGTGAGTGGTACTCGCAGCGTCAGCGTGGTGGGGCGTTCGGTCCCTGCACCTACGTCCTTCGCACCGGCGACCGCGCGGGTGAGCAGTGTGGGGGCACCCACACCGCCCGCCGCTGCTTTGCCCGCTTGACCGACGCTTGGCGCCAGCAGTTTCCGGAGGCCTCTGAGATCCCCCGCTGGGGAGAGCTGTCTAGGGCTGGTGTAGCTATCTTTGATCTTGACTTTGATGATATCCTTGCTGCCATGTATGCTGTGACTGTTAGTGATGAGGGTGACTGTTACCGGTGTTTCCCGCCCGACCCGGGCATTGGTACTGCTGCGTCAGGTGCCAGTGAGGCTGCTACTCTAGGTGCCAGTGCGTCTGTGCTCTCAAGTACTAGTGAGTCTGCACTCTCAGGTACTACGTCGGCTTCGGCCTCTCACACCTTCACCCTTGACTCTGGGGCGTCTCACTCCTTCTTTCGGGACCGCACCACTCTCACGCCGCTTAGTCGGCCGGTTGCGGTGTCCCTGGCTGACCCCTCTGGGGGTCCTGTCCTGTCTCGTTTCTCCACAGTCCTCCCGTGTCCGGCGGCTCCCTCTGGCACCCTGACTGGTCTCTACCTCCCCTCGTTCTCTACGAACCTGGTGAGTGGTGGTGACCTATTGGATGTGGGTGTCCACCAGTTCACTCCTGCTCGTCAGCGAGTGACACACTGCACAGAGGCTAGCACAGGTCGCCACCTGGCTACGTTTACACGTCAGCCAGGGTCGAGCCTGTACACACTGACCACTGCTTCTCCTCTCGGTGCTGAGTCTGGTAGAGTCCCTTCGTCTGGTCAGGTGTTTGCTGCAGCGTCCAGGTCTGGTCCTGAGTCTGCCCCCTGTTCGTGTCGCCGTCTGTCTCACGAGACTCTCCTCAGGCACCACCGCCTTGGCCACCCCTCTCTGCTTCGGCTTAGAGGCATGGCCTCCCGTCTTCTTGTGTCTAGTCTCCCCCGGTCCCTCCCTCCCCTTCCTCAGGGCCCTGGCCCTGCCTGTGTCCCCTGTGTCGAGGGGCGCCAGCGTGCTGCCCCTCACTCCTCCCAGTTTCCTCCGACCGAGGCTCCGTTGCAGACGCTTCACATGGACGTGTGGGGCCCTGCCCGCGTCCATGGACTTGGTCACGAGCGCTACTTCCTGTTGGTGGTTGACGACTACTCGCGTTACACCACAGTCTTCCCCTTGCGCAGCAAGGGTGATGTCACTGAGGTGCTGATCGACTGGATCCGCGCAGCTCGTCTCTAGCTCAGGCAGAGCTTTGGCTCGGACTTTCCTGTGTTGCGTCTGCACTCGGACAGAGGCGGAGAGTTCTCCTCTGGTCTTCTGCGTGCCTTCTGTCGTGCGCGAGGCATCCGCCAGACCTTCACGCTTCCGGACTCACCGCAGCAAAATGGGATTGCAGAGCGCCGCATTGGCATGGTCATGGACGTCGCTCGTACGTCTATGATGCATGCGGCTGCCCCCCATTTTCTGTGGCCGTTTGCGGTCAGGTACGCAGCGCATCAGATCAACCTCCACCCCAGGGTCTCCAGGCCGGAGACCTCCCCAGCCCTGCAGTGGACGGGGAAGGTTGGCGATGCGTCGGCGTTTCGGGTCTGGGGATCTCGGGCGTTTGTCTGCGACTTGTCTGCAGACAAGCTGTCCCCTCGCGCTGCTCCCTGCGTCTTCCTAGGGTTCCCCCCCGTCGCCCTGGGTGGCAGTTCTACCACCCCACCTCTCGACGTGTTTTGTCCTCCCAGGACGTCACGTATGACGAGTCGGTACCCTACTACCGCCTCTTCCCCTACCGCACTCCGTCCCTCCCCCCACCCCCGCTCTTCTTGGTACCAGGTCCCCCCCCGGTAGACCCCCTCCCCCCTCAAGGTCCTGCCCCTTCAGGTGTGTCCCAGGTAGACGCGGTCGAGCCTGTCGAGGTCACTGGTGACTCTGGTGCTGCTGCGGGAGCTGAGCCTGGGGGTGCTGGGACTGGAGGTGCTACGCCTGGGGGTGCTGAGCCTGGGGGTGCGGAGTCTGGGGGTGCTGAGCCTGGGGGTGCTGAGCCTGGGGGTGCTGAGACTGGGGGTGCTCCGCCTGGAGGTGATTTGCCTGAGGGTGCTGAGCCTGGAGGTTCTTCGCCTGGAGGTTCTCCGCTTGGAGGTGCTTCGTCTCGCCGAGAGCCACTCTCCCCACAGGAGCTGCGTGAGTGGTTTGCCCAGCGCTGGAGGCGTGCTGCTGGTGTTGGAGGTTCTTCGGCTGCAGAGGGTGCTGCTGCCACGCGTCCCGGAGGTGCTCCTGCTGTGGGTGCTGGAGCTGCTGGGCCTGAGGGTTCTCCTGGAGCTGGTGCTACTGAGGGTGTTGGCGCTGAGACTACTGCTGGCGGTCCGACTGGCGGTGCTCCTGGTGCTGCTGGGGGTTCTGGAGCTACTGGAGGTGCTGCTGGAGGTGCCGCTGGAGGTGCTGCTGGAGCGGGTACTCCTGCTGGGGGTACTGGTGCTGACCCTGCTGTTTCTGGCGTCGCCACGCGGCCCCGACCGTACTTCGTTCCGCTCCTGCAGCAGGTTCTTGGTCTTACACCTTCTCCTGGTCCTCCTCCTCCTCCCTTAGAGGGTCCACAGCCTGTTTAGTCCCAGTCACAGCTACAGCCTGCCTCCCCTTTGCCTGCTCCTTCTCCCTACGCTTGTCCGACTGGAGGTCTTACTGAGCGTCGTG